GGAAGGAGGGAGGGAGGAAGGAAAGGGAGGAGGGAGGGAGGGAAGAAGGAAGGAAGGAAATCCTTTTCCCAGCCAAAATGCTTTCTCTTTCTGGCGTGGTCATCAACCCATTGCTTTTTAGCAATGGAACTCAGTGGAGGTCACAACTACAAGTAAATGTTCGGTCTATTCTAATCTAAAGCACCTTTCTGAAACTGGATCCAAAAATACAGATTTTAGTTTCTTGCAGTGATATAGCAAAACAGGCTGTAAGACCAGAAGAATCTGACCTCCACTGGTTTGTCAATACATGTTTCCAGAGCTGAATTTGACATGCTCTGGGCCATTGGAAGTACCAGGGAGGAGTGGCGCTCTGAGTTTTCCTGGAGGCGGCCGCTTGCCCTCTGCCGAAGGGCAGCACAGCCATTCCGAAGCTGCCACCCTCTAGATAGGCTGGCCTGCAGCCCGTATGGCCTCAGCCAGCCCAGGGAGCTTACTAGTGGGGCACGTGGCCTTTCTGCTTGGTGTTGTACTCTTCCAGATCCTTCTGCTTCTGCTCCAGGACTTTGTGGATTGACTGCAGGGAGCGGGAGCGTTGCATCGAGGCGCGTTTCGCGTTTTGGGCGTTGTGGCTGACGAAATCCACTTTACTGTTGTTCTCTGGGACCTGGAATAGAAAGAAAGAAAGGTGTTCTGACCCAAACCTTGTTCCGAGGAAACAAACACCAAACAGAGGTCAAAGCAAAGCCCTTGAATGCTTCTCTGCGAATTCCGTTCACTCACGGTTAAAAGGCTATTAAAACTAATTGTCTCTGATAAGAACGAGCCTTGCCAAGGTTGTGCAAGGCTGCCAAAAACACCAGATAAAGTTACTAAGAAATATTCCAAACACAAAGTCTTCAAACACCAACCAAGATAGTCTGAGCTTCCACAAGGCTTGAAGTGCAAGACTTTCTTTGCTTCCTGCAAAGAATTCCAGTCTCTCAGGCTGGCTTTTATCCCTTAAGGGAGGAGCCATCACCTTGCAGTTTCCTTCGAGCAGCCCTGTGCGCACTGGGCATAGGCTCCTCAGGGACCTCTTCCTCACTGCTGCAAGCCTCCACAATCTCCAATGGCAGCACTTCACTCCCTGATGATCCTGGCCCCATCCCTGCATCCCACGCAGGCCCCTCATCCGAGTCCTCGCTCTCCGAGGCCTCAGCCGTCCTCACCTGCTGCCATCAAATCACAACAGAAGGCAACGACAACAAGCAGGGAGCTTCTGGATGGTGGCAACCCAGAAATGGCTGGATCCATCCACTGGGCCAAGGCATAATTCCCATAACGGTGCCACAGAGCAAACTCAGGATAGAGGCAGCTCCTGTTTTTTGTCATCTTTTGCAGAGGTTGAACTACATCTCCCAGCATCCCTAGCTGTCAACGGTGAGGGAAGCTGGGAACTGTAGTTCGGAAACATCTAGTCAGATTCAAATCCCTCATATTTTCCTTGCCTCTTTTCTTCTCCCCTCCCCATTGAAGGTCGTTCCCAACTCATGACCACTAAGGCCCAAATTTCTGCTGCTAAGAGAAACATTTGAGTGAATTTTGCCCCTTCCTTGCCAGTCATTAAGTGAATTGCTACAAACTGCAGTTGTTAAGTCAGTCATATGGTTGTTAAGTGAATCTGGCTCCCCCCCGTTGACTCTGCTGGTCAGAAGGTCACAAAAGTTGACTGCATGATCCTGCAACCGTCATAAATACGAGCCAATTGCCAAGCATCCGATTTTTTTAAAAACAAAACAAAACAAGTTTTATTTCAGTTTTTCACATATTAAAAACATCTCTTTTTAGTGAACAGCATGATTACAGGTTTCCATATTTACATACAAATATGACCATAGTTACATATTCAGTTTTTTTTTCCAACTTCTTATCTTAACAATGCTTTTATACATTTTCTATTTTATTGTATTATTCCAAATGCTTGCCTCTTATTTAATTCACCAATATTTCTGATATCTTCATAATTATTATACTTTAATACTTTTAACTGTCACATTTGCATGTTTCATCTTGAATTCTCAATTGATACAATCATTCCAAGAAATAGTTTCCCCCCTAAATTATCCATTTACGTGTGCTGCCTCTAAGTATTACATATTCATTATCTCCCCTTTTAAATCCCATTAATCATTTTAACTTTTTATTACCTAAAACCAAGCATCTAAATTTTGATGGAAGGGATGGGTGCTGAAATTGTCATGAAGTGTGAAAAACGGTCCTAAGTTGCTGTTTTCAGTGCCGTTGTAACTTTGAACGGTCAACTAAATGAAGTGTTGTAAGCAGGGATGGGATTCAACATTTTTAACAATTGGTTCGGTGGGCGTGGCTTAGGTGGTGGGCGTGGCTTGGTGGTCATGTGACTGGTGGACATGGCTTGGTGGTCATGTGACTGGCTGGGTGTGGCCAACTCAACATCACTCACATCGAGGCACGCCTGGCCTCTCATGACTGTGGGGATGCTGCAACAGTCATAAGTGTGAAAAATGGTCATAAATCACTTTTTCCAGTGCCATTGTAACTTTGAATGGTCCCTCCACACAAGCAAAGTACCAGCAAAGGAGGGGGAAAAATCCTCCAGAGAAGTTCCTGAGACAGGAAGTCTAGTCCTGCCAAGAATATAAGGTTTAATGGAGAGGCAGTTTCTGCAAGCAACACCAGAATGTTTCCTTCCTGCTTTCCTTACAGGATTAGGCCAGTAATTTCTTCTAACAACCGGTTCTCCCAACTGCTTAAAATGTTAGCAACGGTTCTAGCGAATAGGTGCGAAATGGTAGAATCCCACCCCTGGTTTTAAGTCAGGGACTATCTGTATATGTATATACACACACACATAGACGCACCTTGCCGTTCCCATTCTGAGCCGGGGCAGCTCCTGGATCCATTTCACACAACTGGGGAGGGTTCGGGGATGGAGATCGGCGTGGATGAATTCCTGTGCCGCAGCGAGAATAGGCTCTCAGGAACTTCTGAGCCTCTGGATGTGGTGGGCTGGGACTCTCCTGCGAAGCCCAGAAAGAGAAGGAACGGGTACTTGAGAAAAGATGCGGGGGTGGGGGAAAAAGTACTGCATATCCCAGTGATGGCTAACACCCCCACGTGCCAAATGCCTCTGCACATGTGCACCCATCTTCCACGCATGCAGCAGATCCCCGACAATCAGCTGTGTGGTGGAGGCTTGTGTGCACATGCGCAGTAGGGCTCTTCCGGGCAACGTCTCACGGGCTGGCAGAAGTGGCTCTATGTGCCCCTTCCGGCACGTAGGCTATAGGTTCGCCATCACGAGCACATCCTTATCTAACAGAGTGGTGCAATGACCTAGAGGTGGAGCTCTCGCCTCACAATCAGGAGGCTGTGAGTTCGATCCTAGGTAGAGGCAGATATTTCTTTCTCTTGAGACACAATGAGAACATATCTGCTGAACAAAACTCCTCATTGGTGACAGGAAAAGGCATCCGGCCAATAAACGCTCTGCTAGCTCCATTCAGTTGCCCAAGCTACACCCCGCAAGGGATTATGCGGTCATTAAATGATGATGATAATATCCTTATCTAACAAGAAAACATTATATTTTACTTATAATATAGAGTATTTATTATATATTACTATATAAACAAATAATTCAGATCAGCAGGTCTCTACTGAGCAGTATTCCAGTATTCGAGAGGCTGCCACAGGTCACCTTATTCTCCAAAGCACCGGAGGGCAGGACAAGAAGCAACAGATGGAAACTAATCAAGGAGAGAAGCAACTTAGAGCTAAGGAGAAATTTCCTGGCAGTTAGAACAATTAACCCGTGGAAATCCTTCCATTCGCCACCATCCAGTCAGAGGGGAAGAAGCTTCCTGGATGAGAAGTGAAACATCTTCAAAGAAAGTCCAGAAAAAAATCACCTTTGGGACAACTATGATCTGGAGGGCTCAGAATCTCCATAGATACCACAATCAAGGAATGACCAAGTTAGGCAAACAAGCTAACATCAAACCTCATCAAGGAACCACCAAGAACACTCCCACCAACACTGACAGGGCAAACCACTAGAATATAAGTTGAGGGCAAACCCCACTCTCTTCTAGCGCTGGTGGTTGTTACCTAGTTGGGTAATGAAACATCTGCAAGGAAACAACCGAGCTCCGAGAATCCCAAGGACCCCAATAGCTGCCCATTTCTTCACCCAAACCACCAATTCGGTGGCCAAGAATCCTGGGGAGTTGATACGCACGTATCTGGAATACTTGCTCAGGTGGGGGAACTACTAGTTTTTAACCGATACGCCGGATTGTTTCTCGACCGCATTAACTACGGAAAGTAAGGAACGGCCTCGGTGGTACCTGCAACTTTGCCTTGACTTTGGATTCCACGTTTTCATACTTCTGGGACTTCCACAGGGCTTTCACGGGTTTGGGTTGGCTCAGCTGCCTGGCTTGTTCTTTCTCTCGGCACTTCCGCTGGATTTCTCTCATGCGCCTCAGATTCTCCTTCTCGTGGTCTTTGTGATCCCTGCCTGCACCGAAGGGAAAAAGAAGGCTTCTTGGGACATGCAACCCGCAGGTGGAGGGGTCTCCAACCAGGGCCACTTTTTAAGACTTGTGGTCTTCAAGTCCCAGAATTCTGTAGACCAAGAGAATTCTGGGAGTTGAAGTCCACAAGTCTTCAAGTGGCCACGGTTGGAGACCCCTGCTCTGAAGGCACCCTGGCCATAACTGCTCCAACAGAACAGATGTTAAAGCAGGTCTGAGGAACCAGTTGTCAGCTTAGATACAACTCTACCAATATCTGTGGAATCCACGGGCAGCAACTACTCCACTTACGTTTGGGCCTCAGTTCCTCAAAGGAGATCTCATCTAGCTTCAGGAGAACTCCTACGGTGCCATTTTGTCCCTTCTCCAAGATGTCCTTGGCGTTGGGCTTAATCCGTGGAGGAGGCTGCGGGCAGCGAGCACTGTAGCACCCAGGATAGAGGCTGAACTCTGGCGGGATGGGGCCAGGGAGCAGATCCAATTTCAGGGAGTTCCCTTCTAACCTTCCTCGTGCTAAAGACAGAAAAAAGAGAAAACCAGGATTGTCAGCATTGTCCAAAGACATTTCTCTGTGATCATGTGGCCAGCATATGCCAAACTGAATGGAACGTGTCTGACCTAAGGCTTCCTAAACTGTAATTACGCACACGCTTATTTTAAAAACAAGACTTAGTTTATTGCAACGCTGGGAATTGTTTTCATTCCCGGCCAGAATTCATCTCAAACAGTCCCCCAAGATAAGCACCCACCTTTCAATTCTGCGAAATCCTGCCAAAAACAGAAGTATCAAATTACCTAGAAAAGAAACCAACCGAAGTGCAAGAAAAAACCAACCAAAGTTACAAAAAGCTTCAAGAATGATTCTGAACCGATTGAACTACTTTGCTTCCTGCAAAGGTTTCGTCATCTTGGCCTGACCTTTATATCTTATGAGAGGGGCAATCACCTCCCAGCCTTAGTCCCAAGTCGCCCCTTTTGTCTCAGCTGCTTTCGCCTTCTGGCAACTCTGAGCACACGCACACTGGGAACAGGCTCCCCTGGGTCCTCTGCCTCGCTGCTGCCAGACTCCAAAGGCTCTGGAGGCAGAACCCTTCTCCCAGAGGGTCCTGGCCCCATCTCTGCATTGGACGCAGGGCCCTCGTCCGAGTCCTCTGCAGACTCCTTGACTGGTCCCTTTCTTCCTCACTGTTCGATTCCGCTATCATCTGCACTGGCTGCTGGCGAACCACAACAGAACGCTGTTACCTTCCCACCGAAGTGGCACCTATTTATCTACTTGCGTTTGCATGCTTTCAAACTGCTAGGTGGGCAGGAGCTGGAGCAAAGAGCAGGGAGCTCACCCCGTCACTCAGTGCACAGGTCTCAATCCTGGGCCATCAGTTTTGATGTAGGAAGACAAACATGCAACCCGCAGGTGGAGGACAGGTTCACTGCGGTGAATAGACTTCGTAAGTATTCCAGACACAACCAGACCCTGACCTGATAGTGGGCGTCTGTAGTAATCCGGACACAGGGTAGGATCTGGAGGAATGGGACCTGTGATCCTGGAGGGGCCTTCCGACATCTCAAGCTTCCTTCGTAGATTCTAACCAGGAATGGCTAAAATCTCATCTTTTGGGGGACCTGTTGAAAACAAGGACCAGGTCTGGGATGGAACCATGGATAATGTATGAGTGGGTAGCTGGAAGGAAGAAGTTTAGAAGAAGAAGAAGAAGAAAATGCAATCATCAACCACTGTATTATTAAGGAGAGAAAATGTCAGGCCCCAATTAGATATATTTTTCTTCCCTTCTATTGTATTATTCATACATTATGTGTCATAGTCATGCCCAGAATAGCAAATGATACTCCTGTGGTCCTCCAGATGCAGCTCAGTCCAGTATTCACGAGCTCTCGTCCTGATAACAGACTCAGGGACCATTCTTTAAAGCGAGGATATTCCTAAAACAATCCATGCCAATGGCTGTTTACACTGCATGGCCCGAACCAAACCAGTTGTGAAACCTCTTTTGCAAGTAAAAAGTTCGTGCCTTGCATTTCGACATAGCAGAGAGACGTCAAAACCTTGGTAATCTGTCTCCACCGAGCAGATACATTCATTGCAGATATCTGGGATGGGTGCATCTATAAACAGATACCAGGAAGCTGCCTGGGGAGCTAGGCAGGCATAAAGACAGTGAGCAAAACAGCAGCAGTCTCTGAACTTCCCTTGGGACACCCTAAAAGCCAATTTTAAATATTTTCCCTGAGTTCCTAGGAGAAGCAAAATGCCATGGATCCCTGAGTTTGCATAAAGACAATAGCTGGCTGGCACTGTATCAGGCCTGCTTCGGGCGTTAGCAGCCAAATGCTTTTCTCTTAGGAGGAGGAGGGAGGAGGGGGAGGAGGAGGAGGAAAAAAGCTAATGCAATCCTAAGTTGTATTAACAGAGAGATACAATCAAGATCAAGGGAGGTACTAATACCACTCTATAAAGCCTTAGTAAGACCACACCTAGAGTACTGCATCCAGTTTTGTTCACCACATTATAAAAAAGAAGTTGAGAATCTAGAAAAAGTACAGAGAAGAGCCACCAGGATGATGAGGGGACTGGAGAGTAGAACATATGAAGAACGATTGCAGGAACTGGGCTTGGCTAGTCTAGTGAAGAGAAGGACCAGGGGAGACAGGAGAGCAGCCTTCCAATATTTGAGGTGCTGCCCCAGAGAGGAGGAAGGGGGTCAAGCTATTTTCCAAAGCGCCTGAAGGCCAGACAAGGAATAATGGATGGAAACTGAACAAGGAGAGATTCAGCCTGGAAATAAGGAGAAATTTTCTGACAGTGAGAACAACCAACCGATGGAACAGAAGTTGCCTTTGGAAGTTGTGGGAGCTTCACCACTGGAGACTTTCAAGAAGAGATTGGACTGCCATCTGTCAGAAATGGTTTAGGGTCTCCTGTTTGGGCAGGGGGTTGGACTAGATGACCTACAAGGTCCCTTCCAACTCTGATTATCTGTAATCTGTTATCAGAGGAGGAAGAGGAGGAGGAGGAGGATTAATGCTTGGCCTCATTCCAGGCCCAGCAAAGAGATGTTTATTCTGTCAGCTTGGAGGGTAAACGCCTGTTTTTAAGAGCCAAGTACTGTACAAACATGCAGCTGGGAGGCTGTTTGGCTTGAAATCATTGGGACTGCAAGGATCTAAAAGGGGAAGAGAAGAGGCCCTTTTGTAAGGGTTGTTTGAGGGCAGGTGGTTCCAACCTGGGAAAAGTGCTGGGGAAGCAAACTTTATGCTGGTGTAAGAAAAATCTTACTAAATATTTAGCAGGACCGTTGACCCAGATAAGCTGGTGGTTGCAAGGGGAGCTTGGAATCTTGAGACTAGGTTGCAGTTGGTCAGGAAAACTGCCCTGCCTACCTATGGTTTGCTATGAGGCAGGTAGAAAGCACGACTGCACAGGTAGTCCTTGACTTACAACAGTTCAAAGTTACCAAAGTTACTGAAAAAAGCGACTGATGAACATTTTCCCACGTTTACGACTGTTGCAGCATCTCCATGGCCACATAATAAGGAGTCTCTGTGGCGCAGTGGCTAGAGTGCAGTACTGCAAGCTACTTCGGCTGCAGCCAGCTGCCTACAATTTGGCAGTTCGAATCCCACCAGACTCAGCCTTCCATCCTTCCAAGGTGGGTAAAACGAGGAGCCAGATTGTTGGGGGCAAGAGGCTGACTCTGTAAAACCGCTTAGAGAGGGCTGTAAAAGCACTATAAAGCGATATATAAGTCTAAGTGTTTTTGCTACTGCTGTAATCCAAATCCAGATAGATGCTTGGCAACTGGTTCAAATTTATGACGGTTGCAGCAATATAAACTTTGGGCTCCATTATGTTCCTAGTTTGAGGACTACTTGTGCTAACTACCCCCTTCTTCCCTGCCTCTTCCTCCTGCAGAAATTTCTCTCTCTTTCTCTTAGCCACCTCTGCTAATACAGGGAAGTCTTCAATTTACAACCACAATTGAACCCAAAATTTATGTTGCTAAATGAGAAATCGGTTAAGTGAGTTTTGCCCCGTGTTACTTTTCTTGCCACGCTGGTTAAGGGAATCACGGCGGAGGTTAAAGGAGTAACCTGATTGTTAGAAGGTCACAAAAGGGTATATCACACGACCCTACTGCAACCCCCATAAATATGAATCTGTTGCCAAGCATCTGAATGTAAATCACCTGACCATGGGGATGCTGCAATGGCCTGCTGGAAGAATCATCCTTCTGGGTTCAGTTCCAAGTGGGGAAAGAGAGACTGGAAACATGGAGGCTGTTTGGAAAGATGGTTTAATGGTGGACAGGACCACATGGCTTGGAGCTCCAAAGAAGGAAGAACGATCACATGCTTCAAGATGAAGGAAAAGAAGGAAGGACTGAGATGCTGAGAGTCCCTTATATACCCTCTGTTGAGATTTGAATTTGAACTTGTATTCTGCATGGTTGTCAGACTCATATGGGACCACGCAGGGGCAACTCTGTCCTGAGTGCCAGGCTTGGTTGAGCCTTGCTGGATGATGCTGTAATGAAAGGGCTTTGGACAATTCCTATTACAGCTCTACCTGGAGATCTTTGTTATGTAAAGTATTCTGGCCCAGGCCTTAATGGCCCACCCATTAACAAAGAGGGGGTGAGCTTCTGCTTCTGAGGTGAGTTTCTTCTTCTGAGCTTCTACTCTTTTTAGGGGAAATATTCTGCCTTTTTAATATTTCTCAGGATATTTCATTTTTCTAGGAGAGGGGTGGGTGCTAACTTCCTACAGCTATAAGTGTGGGAAACAGTCATAAGTCACTTTTTTCAGTGCCGTTGTAACTTCTGTCACTAAACAAACTGCTGTAAGATGAGGACTTTCTGTATTAGTCCTTTTTCAGGGGAACATATTGCCAAGCAAAGCCCTTCAGTTACTCAACTCTTTTTTTTTTTTTAAAGATTCGTAAGGAAGTATATGGCAAATATTTAGGTCTCAGGGGCATTTTGGAAATAACAGTGCTGGAGAATGGGAACCACTGCTTTTCAGTGCATTTTTATGTTTCACCTCTGGATCTCAATGACCGAATCCACAAAGATAAACAATACATCCCAATCATAAAAAACATGCTATAATAGAATAGAATTTGGGGAGAATATAGAATAGAATAGAGTAGAGTGTAGAGAATAGAGAGGATAGGGTAGGGTAGGGTAGGGTAGGGTAGGGTAGGGTAGACTAGACTAGACTAGACTAGACTAGACTAGACTAGAATGTGGAGGAGAACATAGAATAAAATAGAATAGGAATAGGAATAAAATAGAATTCTTTATTGGCCAAGTGTGATTGGACACACAAGGAATTTGTCTTGGTGCAAATGCTTTCAGTGTACATAAAAATAAAATATACATTCATCAAGAGTCAAGAATCATCAGGTACAACACTTAATAATAGTCCTAGAGTACAATAAGCCATCAAATCATACTAGAAAACAGTCAATATAAAAACTAGCAGTTGAGTTTTGCCGAACCTCCTTCTCCAAATATCCAGGGAGATCTTGGTTGGCTAGTTTGTGGCTCAGGAAAATTTAGCTGGTATTGTTAGTTTAGTACGTTTATTGTTTTAGCAGGTTGCATGAATGCAGCCCCTTGAGCGAATTTAGCAAGGGACACAGAGAGAGAGGGAGGGTGAGAGGAAATGCAAAAAAAAGGGGGAAAATTGCAAACAGTTGCAAACTTTCTATCCTGCCATCTGGAGGATCCTTCCACTCAAAATGAACCACCCCAACATCGGGCCAACACTGAACACGCGCGATGCAATCTAACAACTGCAACAACAACCACCATTTATTAGTCTGCCGCTCAACTCTCCACAACTCCGGGTAGCCCACAAAGTCCTGCAATGCAGGGCTCAGGCCGGATTCGGGTTCCTCCACCCTCCCCCCCGCCCCAGCCAGGTCGCTGAGGGTCCTGGGGCCAGTCCTGTTTTGCAGTCCTACCGCAAAGGGTTGTTGTGAACAAGAAACTGCAAAGCCAGGCATCTCAATTCCAGCTCCGGGGGAAGGGGGGGTCCTGCAAACTCCAGGCGTCACGAGCAACCGCCCCCCCTCCCTCAATGGCCGCCCCCCCCCACCCTTCCAAGCCCAGGGGATCCCGCGTCCAGCTCCCACCACCCCGATTCCCCCTCCCCCCCATGGACGCGAACCGCCCCCCCTGCTTTGGTTGCATGCCAGCAACAGCCCCCCTCTTCCCGGAGAAGCTCCCCCGGGCGCCCCCCCACCCTCCACACCGAGGCCCCCTACTCACATTTGGAGCCGGTCCTCTGCAGCAGCCCCGCGCGGCGCTTCCTGCGCTGCGGAGCCGAGAAAAATCCGGCTACGGACAGTTGGACTCCCCGCCTCCGGTCTCTTAGCAACAGGGCTCCCCGGAGGCTGCTGGGAATTGTAGTTTTTCCTTTCTCTGTACAGATCCGGCTTAGAACCGGTGCCCAAGGGAGCCTTTTCAAGTACGCTCAGCCAGCGCCTGTCTTTCTTTCTTTCTTTCTTTCTTTCTTTCTTTCTTTCTTTCTTTCTTTCTTTCTTTCTTTTCTTTTCTCTTTCTCCCTCCCTCCCTTTCTTTCCTTCCTTCCTTATTTTATTTTCTTTCTTTTCTCCCTCCCTCCCTCTCTATTTCTTTCTTTCTTTCCTTCTTTTCTCTCTTTTCTCCCTTTCTCCCCCCTCCCTTTCTTTCCTTCCTTCCTTCCTTCTTTTATTTTCTCTTTTCTTTCTCCCTCCCTCCCTTTCTTTCCTCCCTTCCTTATTTTATTTTCTTTCTTTTCTCCCTCCCTCTTTCTTTCTTTCTTTCTTTCTTTCTTTCTTTCTTTCTTTCCTTTTCTTTTCTCTTTTCTTTCTCCCTCCCTCCCTTTCTTTCTTTTCTTCCTTCCTTCCTACTTCCTCCCTCCCTCTTTCTTTCCTTCTTTCCTTTTCTCTTTCCTTCCTTTCTCTCCCACTCTCCCTCTCCCTCCCTCATCTGTCTGTCTATCCATCCATCCACCCATCCATCTTCCTATCGTCTATCTCTATCTTCATTTTGGTGCTCATTAGTTTGCTAGAATATTGATTATGTGCCATCAGTTTGTAGCTGGTGACCACATCGATTTCCTCCATGAAGAAGATCTGTCCCTTATTTGATCTTTCTGATCTTCCAGCATTGCTACCATAACTGAGTCCATCCACTCCTCTGGCTGCTGGTTATCCTCTTCCTCCTCTTCCTTCCTCCTTTCCTAGTGTTAAGGCCTTCTTCAGAAGCATTGGGCAGAGGTTTAGATAAATAAGAAAAAGACCCACTGAAAGCATCCTATTTGTGACTTCTAATGAAAAATCAATTCATTATTCATCCAATGTGCAACGTCCTTCCACACCTGTTGATCTTGCACAATTGAAATAGCTTGGCAAAAGACAGAAGGGCAGCCACATATTCTGTAGCAAACATATTAAGCAATTTAGTCACCACTCCAAGAGGCTAACTGATGGTGAACGTAGCAAGCATTTCTGGAGCTGTACCGAAGAAAGGATCTAGATTCCTAGCCATTGATGGAGTGGCAGCAGAATGCTAGCAACCTGGTAGCTTAGCAACCTGGTCCTAAAGAAGGCAAGCTAATATCTCCAAGGCCTACTAACCAATCACTACTGGTTGGAGCAGTGGAAACCCACCAGCGCTTTAGTCTAGACAAACTGTCACAGGCAGTTGTGGTGAGAACATTTATTTATCTATTTTTGAATTGCCATTATCACTGAGTTGGTGCTTTAGTTTGAATGGTAACAACAAAATGATGCTTGGGTGTTCATAGCTTCCAAGCATACAGCAGTGAAAATGGGAAACAGAACCTCCTCACCTTTTAAAAATAAGTCCTCATTCGGGTTTCAGGGTTTTTTGAAATCCCCATCATTCATGAACCAGTGGTAAATAATATAACTTTAGAAGCTTCTTAAAATGGTTAGCAGGAGCAGCCGGAGTCACAGAAGGAACAATTATTAGTCACTGAGAAGGACACAGAAGGACACCCAAAAAAGCTATCTGTCCTTGGTACATCAGAATTATCTGCTTTTTGTTCTATAATCCAGTTGACATCACTTGCTAGAGTTATTGCTATAATAACTAGAAGTTTTACGCAGAGCTTCCACGGGAACTGAGGCATTTTTCTCTAAGGCTGCACTAAGTTGGGTTTTTGGTAACCACAGTTTATTCAACCACAGTTTATTGTGCTATAGTTGATCATGAAGGGATCCAAAAACCCTGCTTTGCAAACTTCTTTTTCCCAGTACAATTCTGAAAAATCTTCACTTGGTTACCTTTCGCATCAATCCAGTCCCTCTAACTCTCAATTTCTCTCCACAATTCAAACAGTGGTGCCCTGAGAGCAGGAAACACCCTTATTTCTAACTGTAAATAAACTGTAAATCTGCTATTTTATTTGCCCAGCAAAATACATACAACAGCCAGTACCATTTCTGGGTTTTTTTTCTTCTTCTTTTCCTATCTGGCAGTTGATGGCAACCTGTGCTAGAAGCCCCAATGAGAAAAAACTGGGAGGGAAGACCAACACCCCACATTTCCTGTTCCAGCTGGCTGCAGCCTTAGAAAATCCCACCATCAAGTCACTGGAGGTAAAACATGATTAATACAGGAAAGAAAAAAGGAAGGATGCATGACTTATAAACACTGGCAACACCCATATGCTGGAAAGTTGGAACGAATGGATAATAACCTGATGCAGGAATGAGCAGGAGACAAGAATATGTCAATCAATACAGAGGGGGTATTCAGTAGGTTCTGACCAGTTCTAGAGAACCAGTCGCGGAAATTTGGAGTAGTTCAGAGAACCGGCAAATCCCACCTCTTGACTGGCCCTGCCTCCCGAGTCCCACCTGATTGGCTGGGTCTTCTTTTGTTGCCCTACACAGGAGAATGGAGCTGGAAAGCAGGTTAGTGGGGTGGGGGGGAATGGGGACTTTGCAGTATCCTTCCCCTGCCATGCCCGCCAAGCCACGCCATACCACGCCCACCAAGCCATGCCATACCACGCCCACCAAGCCACGCCATACCACGCCCACCAAGCCA